CTAACAGAATTTGCTCCCCAGTCCTTCTCTGCTGTTGAAAACACATCCTGATATTCACATCTTGTTCACTCAGGGTAGGCAAAGCCATCTCAAGGGCTGTTCAAAATTTGTACAAACAGGGCTCATATCCTGCAGGTTTGATGGGTCCAGCAGGTCACAGGACACATCAGGGTTCAGGTGACAGACACAGTCTGGCTGGGGACACACTGATGTACACCAAGGACTTCTCTGGTGTCAAGGGAGCTGCTGCATTGTGCTGTGGTGTGAGAGGCTGGGACATGAGCTCTGCAGGAACAATATTCATGGCCAGATGGGGAAAATTAACACCCCAGTCTATTAGGAGCTTCTGCCTTACCTTGGAAAATTATGTTGAAAATGCAGGTGATCAGATATGCATATTGCACAGTTCTCACCTGGAGGAATTTTGTTTAAAGTTTTTCTTCCTTTCTCTGTCTGCTGTTGGCTTCTGTAGAGGCAGTGGAAAGCAAAGGGGTGTTTAGCATGGTCATGTGGTGGAATACAGGTGAATTAAAAGAGTAATGGGGTGATTCCTGCATGCTGCAAGTCAGCACTGCTCTGTAGTAACTGATGAAAGTTCATCCCTTTGCACCAGCTGAGCATCTGAAATTCAGAAATACTTAAAAAAGTATTGATCAAAATTGATAAAAAATTATCAGAAAGTACTTAAAAACAATGGAAACAAAGCTGTTGAAAATGAAATTTGAAACTATACCAAGTCTCCACCATCAAGGCAGCAATATGGGCATACATAATTCACCAAAATAATATCATGGAGTAACTTTAAAAGAGAAGGAAGAAAGCTACCAATAAGAGTTAGAATAGTCAGTACATCTGTTTTATCTATATGAAATTATATATATGAAATATATGTAATCATAATGAACTCCTGAAAGGCTGGCTGCATTGGAGTCTCCCTTTGCACACACATGCACTGCTGGTCCTGTAAAAGGAGCAGCCCCAAGCACCAAACCTGGGACCTCTCCTTCGAGGATTTCAACCTCAGCCATTCCCATGTAGCAATCTGCACCAAGAGATGGAGAGATTCACAGCAAATTCCCCCTTTCTTACAAGAATTCACTTCAAAGAGCAAGCTACATGGTTCCAAAGACCTGTACATGAAGGAAGAGGACTTGCCAGACTGTGGAAAATCCTGGAGATCTCCAACACATCAAATCCACATGGCTGGGGGTTAAGGGTTTTGTCTGAAGTCGTGCTGGAAATTAAATCTCTTGGTCTCTAGACAATTTTTTGTCATTAGTTCTGAGTTTGTTGTAGAAGGCATGCCTATGGCAAGGACCCTTTGGGGCTTTTAGTCTGGTCAGAAAGATTTTCCTAAATTCAGCTTCACATTTCTTTGAATCCCTGTTTTGAGTGATGCTGATGTGGTTGCCTTATTGCTGCATGCAACCTGGCTGAGCTCCACATTGTGTGCCCCTGAAAGTGGCAGCTGCTTATCCTTGCAGATGCCTGGCTTGTTTTCCTCTATTTTAGGTGATTTCCAAGAACTTTTAATGTCGAGGTGCATCTGTGTCAAGTGGAAAATGAGTTGTTTGTCTTTCCCCTTGCTCCTAGTGAAAAGGTTTAGCGGCACATTAGATTTTCAGTCTCTTTATTCTGTGGCTAAACATTTTCTTCAATGCTATCAGCAAGTTTCAGCATTAAAAAGAAGATTTTTGGCTTCTGGAATTAAGCCAGAAAGTGTGGCCAGAATTTAAAGCACCCCCTGATGTGTTTTGTTAACACTAATAAGAGATTAAAAATGCTACGAAAAAGCTTCAGATGATGAAAGTTTAATATTTCAGCAGTCTGCATGCAGCTGCTATTCTGAACCTCAAGCAGCCTCCTCCAGCTCAATATACTCAAAAACTATTAATCTAAATTATGATTTTAAAGGGCAGGAGCCCAGATGTGCATAATTGTTTCTTATTGTTCCCATATGCAGAGCAGGGCTCTGAACTCACAGTGATAACCCAGCTGTGTGTTTGCAGCCTCTCACTGTCCTTTTCCTGCCCATCACTCTATGTGTGCTGCTCTCAGCATCTCACCTGGGCCAAAGCAGAAAAAATTACTTGAATCTGGATCCTTTGAAATATAGCCATCCTTTGAAATATATGCTCATATTTAGGCAGGATTCTCTGCTATCCTGGTCAATTGCAAGTAAGAGAAAGACTTTGAGCTCTGGCTCAGTGGGAACCATAAATATTTGTTTGCCCATCTGATCATCACTCCGTCTTAGAGTTGCTTCTCTTGTCCCTGGAAGCTGTGCAGCTGGATGAAGACTTTTGCTCCTGCTGGCATACCACACAATCCCCTATGCCAGAAACAGCTTTTCCTCCTTTTGGGAAGAGGAACAGCGAGGGTTATGCCCCTAGTTTTCTTCAGGGAATTTTAATCCTGGCATGCTGAATTTCAAAAAGTGACCCAGTTTTGAGATGTTCACACTTTGCAGCCACCCACGTGTTCTTGACCTCTTCAAAGTGGCCAGCTCTCAAGTGTCCCACTTCACAGAGTCACACAGTTGCACAAGACAGAACATTCAGTCTGCTTCTTCATCCAGCTCAAGCAGTTTGTGGTGCCAGTGGTGCAGAGATGGGGTGGCTGAAGTGACCTGCTGAAATCACACCTTAAAAGATGCATTTGGTGTCCTCTTCAATTTTCATGAACTGGTAATGGGTGGCTGCTGAAGACCAGACATTTTGCAGGTAAAGAATTGCTCCAGACTCCAGGGAAACTGGTGGATGTGTCCCAGCAGGGATTTTTGTGAGGAGGAGCAAGCCCGGGGTGCAATGTTGCTTCCAATGTTCTTGGCTGAGCTGTACTATCCTGGCAACTATGGGTTGATCCACGGAAAAGTAATGCCAGGACTGCAGGGATGGATTGGTAATGTGTTCCCCATGCTGCCAGGACACTGACAAGTATGGAGAGGAAGATGAATGAGACTGGCGTGGTTCATGGGTGCCAAGTAATCACAGCTCAATAAGAAGCTTAATAAAGACACAGTGAAGCAGACTCTGATGTACCACCCCTTCATTTTGACAGGGTGAAAAAGACCCTTGAAGCTGGTGCATCAGCATTCCCAGTGCTGACTCTGCACCTGGGACCTCCTGCCCAGTGCCTGGCAGTGTGTCCTGGAGTGCCCAGCAGCTCAAGACAAAGTGCTGTCGTGTTTGCACCCTCTCCTGAATGGATGAACAAGTGGGAATGACAAGCAGTCCATCCTACCCCTCTCCCTGCAAGGAAAGAAGCTTTCCTGATTGTGTATTTTATAGTACTTTGTCTGGACAGGTTTTGAAAGCTCTATGCAGTGAAGTACCCAAGCAGTTAGGGATCAAGAGCTTCTGTTCCCTTCCCTTCCCGGACCTTAACAGCCCCCTTCCCTACTGCTGCCCGCTGGCTGGAGCATCTCACGTCAGGTTTTGGGCACAAAATAGGTTGGACGAAGTACCAGAGAGGAGGGGCACTCTCCAACACTCCAATGTAAATTACATGGAAATTAGCCTTCTGTGAGGCCAAAGGCCCCTCCGGAATAGGGCCTTTAGTTAACATAACACTTGTGCTAAATGAAGCGGTTGACACAGCTTTCAGGCTGTAGTGCCACTGTTAATTTACCGTGTGAAAGGGCTGAACCTTCAGTCGAGTTCTGCAGGGAGCAGCTCTGCCCCAGCAGGGACCCGAGGCTCATTCTCTCCGGAGAGCAACCGCATCATTCCACCGCTGGCTTATTAATATTTATGGGGCAATGCTGTGAGCTGAAACATTCTCAGTGCTTTTAAGAGCCCAATAGGTGAGCACTGCTGAGCCATCTCACTGTTTGGGGTGAGCTGGTCTGGGTAATAGCTGAGCTCTCCCAGGACTTGGCAGATGGAAGTGGTGGAGTGTGCCTAAAGCTGGGTGCAGAACTTTTCCTGCCCCATGAAAGGAGGGTGATGAGCTGGGGCTTCTGCTTCCCCACCCCTTGTTCTCCTTTGTATCCCCAGGATATTTCCTGTTGCCCCAGGGCATAAGGAGGTATCTTGTTTTTGCTCTCCCTATTTGCTCTTACATTCATCCAAAGTAAACTTTCAGCACGTAATGGAAAAGTGGATGGAGGAGCAGAAAGGATTGGACAGGTCCCGGAGGATCTGTATGATTGCAGTAAGGCTAGCTGGCCATGCCTGGGGCAATTTTATAACTACTTTCATAGAATCAAAGACTAGTTTGGGTTGGAAGGGACATTTAAAGGCCACCGAGCCTTCAATAAGATCAGGTTGCTCAGTGCCCCATCCAAAGCGACCTTGAGTGTCTCCAGGGATGGGGCACCCACCACCTCTCTGGGAAACCTGTGCCAGTGTTTGACCTGTAAATGAGGGGTTACCCCGGGCAAGGGTGAGGCTGGATGCACCAGTCCACCAAAGAAGGGAGTGCAGGATCCACTTGTCTGCACATGTACACCCCACAGCTACACCTCACAGCCTGGCAGAGCAGAGCAGGAGCTTCTCCTGCTTGGGAGGGCAATAAATGCACCAGCCTGTTCCTTAGCTCTGAGCCATGCTAAGGAGGGCGTTCAAAAGAGCCATCTTGGTCTCTGGAAACACTGGCAAGCTCAGAGCTGGATAAATAAGTGAAATTTAAACAGATAAATAAATAAATAAATAAATAAATTCCCCAAACAGAAGAGGAAAAAGAGGGGAAAATTAGTTTATTGCTAATGCTGGTTGCATTCTTTCCTGCAAAGCTGCAAAGTTCACCTGACCTAGGCAGAGTCACAGAGCTAAGTGACTAAAAGCTGGTAAGGAGGGACCCAGCCACCAGCCCACACCAGCCCCAGAAAAGGGCAAGGGGGGCATGTGGTGAGCAGAGAAAAGGCAAGACAGAGAGAGAATCTCCTGGGAGATGCAAAACAAGCTCCCTGGATTGCCAGGACTAGTGGTGACACGCGCCAGACAAAGGACCTGCTACTCTATAAATGAGGCAGCCGGGACCAGCGCTAGGCTGACTCCAGCAAGAGCAAGCTCTGTGGCCAGGCACTGGAAAAGCAGTCGGGAAAGAATCACAGGAAGCGCCTGATTTTGCTGCCTGTTCGCCCCCCAGCCAGGTTTCCAGAGGCACAAGTACCAGAAAAGTAAGTGACAGTGGCCTCTTCTCTTTACAGCTATCCTCCTGTCTTTTGGGCTTATCTTGAAACTTTCTTAGAAAAGCCAAAATTTCCCATCAAAGCAGGGAATATCCTTAAAGGAAGGGATTTCTGCAGTGGCCTCTTACCAATTTGCTGGATTTTCATTTCTCATTGCGGCATCTCTGGTTCTTGTCGCCAAAAATTTAAGAGTAAGGCATCTCATCTGACAAACATCCACTCACAAGTGGCCGCACTTCATCAAGTGAAGAGACAGTTTGTTCCTGAACTTTCCAAATTCCGAGTATCCACAGACCTTACCAAAAGAAAATATTGATTAGTTTTACTGCTTTTGAGAGAAACGCTGGTGGTGAGATGTGGAGGAAATGCAAGTGATTTTATAATCACTGTTCTTAACTATTCTGAGATTTTCTTACAGCTCTATAATTACACATTAGGCAAACTCATTCATTGCACTGCAAACTGCTGTAAATCAGTTATTGCACTGGTGCAAAAGGATTAGACAGAGCATCAGAGACTCCCTGAGCTCAGAACTAATACTTAAGTGAATTCTCCAATGCTGTTTGATATTTAAAACAAATTCCTTGTAAAAGCACAAATAATCATGTACTAATTATTCACTAGACTGTGTGGAAATTCACTGACAGTGTCAGCAGGTAAAGGTGTACGGAATAAATTTTAAATTCCAATCCTCACATATTTAAAAATACCCCCATAATTTACTGGTCATATGAGTTACAGCTGATGGAGATGTAAAGTATATAGGCATTTGAATTTTCCTCACTTCAACAGTGCACTTAGGAGGAAAAGCTTAGCTTTTTTTTTTTTTTTATTTTCACTTCTATTAAATAGTAGTATCTCTTGGATTTGTGAAAAAAACTTTTGAAATTTCAAATATAAAATATGTTTCTATTTCCAGGGGTAGCCTTCTGCATAAAACTACTTGCCTAAGAAAGTTAATAAAATAGCAAAACATGTATGTCTTTTGAAGTAGCTGTCTCTATCCTTCCCAATTTCCTTGTAACACTACAGGACAGTATTTCATTTTCAGAATCTTTTTCCACCATGCATTTCTATATTATTTCACACAGGCAAAAAAAAAAAGAACAAAAAAACAAGGCCAAACAAACAACCAACCACAAAACTAACCAACCATAAAAAAACCCTAAAATAAACGGCATCTTGTTTTTACTGCCTGTTTATATAAACCTTTACAGTAGTAAAGGGTATGAGCAGGTGATCCAAGAAATGAAGTGCTCACAGAGCCAGCATGCCAGGCAGGAAATCTGTGGAATAAACACAGGTGGTTGAGGCAGAGATGATCTTTGTTTTGCTGTTTCTCTCAGGAGCAGCCCCACAGAGGTTGGTGGCAAGATATCTGGGGGGAAATGGGGTACTGCTCCTTGCCTTGCTGTGGTTTGCTGACTTTCAAAAGCTACATTTTGCTGTGGTGGCCACGTTCCTCTGTGCTCATGGTGACCTCTGGCCTCAGGCACGGCGGGCACCGGTGTGACCCGAGGTGGTTAGCAGCCTGGCTTGGGCTTAGGCAGGAAGACAGAGCTCGGCACTGGGTGCTGTCAGACCTTCAGTCTTGCTTTGGCTGCAGTGACAGATTTTGAAGATCTGGATAGAGCGGAAAAGCAAATATTGTTTGGGGGCCACGTCCAAACATAATAAATATCTATGTTCCCCCTGATGCAAATGTCCTTTGCAGACCTGGATTTTCCCCTTTCTGCTCCCAACAACTTCTCTAACAGCGTGGGTTGCTGCAGACTGCTGTCTGCTGAGCTGTAAGACAGGCAGCATCTGGTCCCACTCCTCACTTACCTCCTTCCTGGAAGGAAGGAGGATGTGGACTTCCTGACAAACACAGGTACAGCAAATGTTTTCTGCTATTCACAGCTCCCCTCCTGCCTTGTTATGGCAGAGAGAGGGAGGCAGGAATGAGTGATGAGATGAGGTGGGAGAAATATCAGTGTGGAACAAGTTTTTTTGCACACTGGGTCTGGGGAAAAAAAAAATAAAAATGGAGAGACATGAAGAACTCCTGGAACAGAACTAAACTGTTTTTCTTCTCTGTGTTTACCTTAAAGCATGGGGAGGGTGTCTCTATGTAGTATTTGGGCTGTTAATTTGGCAGAGACTGCTGTTAAAGGACACCCACAGGAACTTGCACTCAGGCCAGAGAAGCACTTTTCCAAGAGAGACTCTCAGATTCTCTGGAACAGAAAATAACACAAGTGCAACTTCAGCAAATAAAGGCTAAACCTTCTGGCAGTGTTCCTCTCTTACCTTAGCAGGCTGTCGTGCCCCTGCCAATGCACTGGAACTCCATTTAGTAAAAGCTGTTGCAGCCCATGAGTGGGTTCTTTATTTTTTTGGTGTAGAGCTGTGGTATAACTAATCTTTCTGCAAAGAACCATAAAATGTATTGAGCAGAAGGGAGCCACATAAGAAAACCGTACAACAACGATGAAAAAACCCCAAACCCCAAAAAAGCCCACTCCCATGTACAGAGTAACCTTTTCTTGAACTACGTCTTTATCACTATCGTCAAGTTCTTGGCCACATATTTTGTGCTCTCCCAAACCCCATCTGGGGGGCAGCCCATTCATTGCTTTGCAGATCTTCCTTTCCCAAGACAGGCTTAGAGGGCATGATGCCACAGTGTGCATGCTGTGGAATCTTTTTGTCTCAGAAAGCAGAGAACTCTCTGCTGCTGAAGACCTGCACCCTCCAGGAGGGCAGCTGGATTACAAAGCTCAGCAACCCAGAGGCAGCCCTGGGTCAGGTGAAAGACCTGGCCCCTGAAACTGGGATCACATGCAGTGTAGTAACCCCAAAAATGAAGGATTACTTATCCTGAGACCTTCACATAGCTGCTTTTGAAAACTCCAGTGATTTCCTTTTTCTAAAGGTTCAGTGAGAGCACAAGTGTGGCCATGAGAGTTTTTGTAAATGCTGCCCTTAGACAGGAGAGCTCCCAGAAGCAGAGACTCTACTATGTGCATTTTGTCCTAGATTTACAGACTCTAAAAAAGGTAAATCACTGTGTCAGCATGCACTGGTTTTTATAGTGCTTTTGCTGCTCTGCTCTACTGTGTTCTGTGGTGTGATTGTCAGATAACACTCCCAACAGAGGCACGAGGCATAGAAAGGAGCCCTTGTTTTCTCCTGAAGTTCCTCTTCCCACATCTTATTTGAAATAAAATGAAGTTCACTGATAGTGTAAGGAATCACCCTGAGGATGCAGGGACAGGCTTTTATTCATTACACCAGCACCACAAGGCTGGGCCACCCTGTGCTTGTGTCTGCTCTAACACACAAATCCTAACATACAATGAACAATTTTTTTTTTTCTACAAATCTTGCAGAGGTTTATGAGCAGGAGGGTCAAGGAGGTGCAGGGAAAAAAAAAAAAAAAGGGAAAGAAAGAAAAAGGACTTTGCCTGAGGCAAGAGAACCAGCATTCACTCTCAGCACTTCGATGTGTTCTTATCCACCAATGCACCTGTGGGATTTCAGGTGGGGAGGCACTTTGGGAAGGGTCAGCACTGAGATACAGGGAGGCAGCAATGGGGAGAATGAGCTGAGGAAAGCTGGGGGGAAGAGCCTGTACCTAGATGTGAGCTGCTCCCCATGCAATCCATCAGGCTGGGGTTCATTGTCCCCTCTGCCCTTAGCTCCCCATCCAACCCAAAGAAAGTGCCTGAAATCCAAGCAGTCACACAGCAAACTCTTAATTGGCTAAACTTCAAGGAGTGACTTTATTCCTCTTAGGGAATGGCGGGGGGAGGGGAAATAAAGTTGCATGTCAGCAATAAGTAGTGTTTTATCTTGTGATACCTTGATCATGCTCAATCCTGCCCTCTGCATGAAGCTGAGCACCATGCTCTGAGCTTGTGTGCAACTGAAGAGGGAAACTGAGTTTCCCCTTTTTCCTTTTGCCCAAATCACTGGGATGCAAAGCAAACAAAGCACAGCAGCAAGGAGTGATAGCTGGGGAATCTTTGTTCCCCATGGCAAACCAGGCTCACAAGCACCTGCCTGGTAGAGGAAACAGGCACCATCTGCTCTTCTGTTGCCATTTACTTAAGGGCTGGGGGGACTTTACAAAATCCAGTGCAATGTGTTAAATAACCAATTTTAGCAGGCAGTGGGTTTCCCCTGTGGAATGATGGTGTGGCACCACAGGTTTACTAGAAGCACTCCAATTCTTGGTGGCAGCAGGCATCTGATGTCTGATTAAGATTTGCAGGAGCAGGTCTCCAGTGGCCAGTTTCAACATGGATTTAACTTCACCGAGGTCAGAGGTATAACTTGAGGGAAGACCTTTCTCGTCCAAGATCTTTAGTTAATAGCATCCTGTTAATTATGACGGAGTGCCGGGCTCCCGGCGAGTCCCCTGCCAGCCCTCAGACATTAACCACTGGCTTGGGGGCCATTTGCTGGGGAATCTGGCAGAGATGTGCTTTGTGCCTAAGCTGCTCTGCTGCTGCTGCTCTGCTGCTGCTGCCTGAATTGCCTGAAAGGCTTTTGCATGGAGAGGAGAACTGCTGCTACGGGAGAGGTCTTCATCTCTTCTGCCGTTCAGTCTTTTGTCTGGTGAAACTTGCTGCTGCATTTAAAGCAGACAGTGTTCTGCCCACCACACATTTTAATATTTTTCAAATGGGTAGGCTGGGGGTGCAAAGAGTTTCAGTTGTCTTTTTGATGGGTGGTGGTGGCTTGTATTTCCTTTGTTTGTTTCTTTTTTTTTTTTCTCTTTCTGGCTGTTGGAGCTCATTTGTTTGTCTTATTTCTTTGCATAATTCTCTTTACATGTTGCACATGTGCACCTTAGTTCATGAAACTGCATTTACCTCCTACTTTTGGACATGCCTTCTTGACCTGAGTTAAATCCTTTCCTTAGTGAAAATTTTTGTCCTTCAAAGCAATTCTTCCAGTGAAAATGGTGTAAACTTAAAAATTTACATTGCTGAGAGAAGAATTAATCCTCTTGACTTTAAGCTGATGTCTTCCTGGATTTTTAATTGTCAGCTAAATGTGGAGCTGTTAATCTGTGTTTAGGAAAGGTGAGCAGAGTCAAAACCTGCAGGTTAACACAGTAAATCAGTACATTATTTGTGCAAACAGGTGATTTCTGCACAGATTTAAAACAGACCAGTGGGATACAAGCAGCACACAACCAGTAGATGACATATATTTTATACAGTGCATCAGAGAAAGCTAAAGAATACATTGCTCAGTTGTGCAAAATTAGCAAAGACCTGAAGTCACAAATAATATATTGAAATACAAGTTTGGTGAGAAGGGTTGGAGAGAAGGAAGGAAAAGAAGGAAGGGAACAAGACAAAAGAAATGGAAATCAGATCCCTTGCCAGCAAACTGGCTGCATTTTGACAAGAAGGTGCTGTGGTTACAGAGAACTAGAGGGGATGTGTAGATGAATAGAGCAAAAAGCTGTGCTGAAAGATAATAATTACTGCAGGATTGGACATGGATAATTTTTCTGTTATGTTTCTAATGGAAACTCCAAACGCAACAACTGGAAACCCACACCAGTAAAGACATAAAGGAGAAGAATTTCAAGTGGAGAGACATACTGAGGTGGCTTAGACCTGAAACAAAACTCCCCATAGAGCTATCCCTGCAAGAGGAGGCACTGGGAAAGGAAAGGAGCTGTTGTTTGCTGATCTCGAATAAATGTCAGAAATACAAACACACATTTTTGAAGTGTAAAGCAGGAGCTGTTCTCACAAAGACATCTGTTTGCTGACAAGGCTTGTGACCACAAACATAGCATTGTCCTTTCCAAAGGCATGAGTGCAGAGACAAAGAAAGCACAGCCTGAAGGAGTAGGCTGGGTTTATTTCTCCACCAATAACACCACTAACAGGACAAGAGGGCATGTTCACAGCACCAGGGCTGGGTGTTAACCTGCTTTCCTGGAGTGCTGTGCAGGGGGCTGTCTGCAGCAGGAGGAAGACAAGAAGCAGACTCTCGGTATTTGTAGCTGAGATGTAAACAGATACCCAGTGAATACTGACCCATACGGCAGAATTACCATGAAGAGCCCCAAAGGCTTGGTAAAATACAGTCCAGTCAACCCATCAGAAGAAACAACGAAGCCCAAATAATTTTCCCTGTGTTACAAAAAATAACTACCTTTGTACAGATAAGTATGTCTTCAGAAGAAAAAAAAAAAAAAGGCAAAGAAAAAAACTCAATCAAAACAGAAGACAAAGAAAGAAGCAGGTGGCATTCTGCATTTCACATGGATCTGAACAGCTGCTTGGAAGAATAAATCTCTAAAGGCAAAAGTTTTGCCTTGGGCACTGAAAACATTGCAGTACAGAGAAGCACTGGAAGACAATGTTTAAATCTGTACCACTGACGTGGCAGTGTTCTTGTCAGAAAGGTACATGCAACATGTTTGAGGTAGGTGAAAAGCACCAGGCAGATTTGTTCCCACAGCACAGAGCAAAAATGATACATGGAGTAGCAGAACAACTAAAAATAAATAAATAAAAAGAGAGGTATAATCCACATTTGGGTCAAGCAATGAGTCTTAATGTAAGTCTACAAAATATGAGAAAAACTCTCAGCAACCTGGAATATAAGGGTTTGGTTTTTAAAGGAGCCTCTCATGAAGCAAGGCCATTTTGATGAGAAAATTTTCTCATCCCCTAAAGATATGACAGCAATTTCAGACTTCTACCAAAATAGAAATGTATTAGCAATGTAAAGGCCAGGGTCAAGAGGAGCCTGTGTCAGCATGAGCAGCCATTTACAGCATACAGGGGTGTGCCAGTACTGGCTGCATCCCTGACCAGAGATCTCTGAGCACAGCTGTAATTGGATTTACAGTACTGCAGCTGTGCTCCCCTGGCAGCTGGCAATCCATGATGGATTGGAACTTGAAGGAGCTGGGCAGGAACTTCCCTGCCTTGGCTCCCTGACAGGGCATCTCAATTTAATTGTGAGTCACATTTGTGTTTCTTTATTCCCTTGGACTTTTACCATGTAATTTGGTGAACCCCAAGTGTCTTACATGGTGTAAGGCTGCTTCAGATGGAAACAGAATCACAGCTGGGCTGTCATCCCAAAGTTTCCTCTTCCTGAGGATGAAGGATGCTACTCCCTCTGCTCCCCCCTCCCCTTTATGGGACTACTACTTTAAAGAAGGTCTTGCCAATGAGTATAAAAAGCTGAGGTTTTCACATGCTTAAAAGGGTAAGTGGAAACATTTGTCCTTTAGTCTCTTGGCTGTGGATAGCTCTTCCCTGCTCCAACTGTCTGCGTGCCACTGGCATAAAGAGCTGCTTCAGGAGACAGACTCCTCCATTTCTGTGGGAGAGAAGGGAAGACAGTTTCCCATGGTGGTGGGAGAACAGTTAGGGCAACAAAAAGAACTTTTGGCAATTTCTCTGGTAAATAGCATTTAAAATCACTGTGCACCCCTTGCCTCAATACTCTCTGCCAGTTCTGCTCTGGGCATGGGGCTCCCTTTTCTTGGCTCTGTGAGGGTGGACAGGGAGCTACTGGGGAGCAGTTTTGTCTGGGATGCCAGCACATTTTGTAGGAATCACACTTTCCCTCATGCACTTATGGTTTAAGTCTTGGCATTTCTGAGAGGCTAAAGCAGAAGCCAGACTGAAAAGTGTGGCACCAGCAGTGAGCAGCCACTGTGGGCTGGGCAGGGAACCAGATGGGTGCAGCCCTGGAGAAATAACCAGTCACACAGGTCTGTGGTGTTGGCTGGCTGCTCTCCTAAGGTCCATGGTGAAGTCCACCTGGCTTAGTTTCAGCCAGGAATCACCAAGCTTGGGCCAGCTGGGTGCAGACTCCAGGGAGGTGTGAAATGAGGGTGGGAAAACATGGATGTGTTCTGCACTGGGTCTGGCTGCTTTCCCCCCATAAAAAGTGCCTGTGTGGCTCTCACACAGCCTGGTGGGATGACAATGTGTTTTCTGTTGGGAATTCTGTTGCAGGGAAACCCTGAGGAGCCTGGAGAAGCTGGGCTTGCAGCAGCACCAAATGCTTATAAAAGGGAATTAAACTCCTTTACCTCTTTTGTGAAGTTCTTACTGAACTCTGGCATCCAGTTGCATCTCTAGTACTTCTGATTATGACTTCAGGGTGAATCCGTGAAGGACATGCAGGACAAGAGCACCAGCCAGGGAGGGTAAAAATTAGAAGCCTAGCACCACCACTCTGTGCTTGCCACTGGCCCAGAGATTACAGAGCCCCTAAAAAAGCAGCCTGTGTGAAAGCCAAGGGTATCCAGCATTCACTCACCATCTCCTTTTCTTTGCAGCAGCTTAAGAATGACAAGGAAGATCTTCACCAACACCAGGGAGAGGTGGAGGCAGCAAAACGTTAATAGTGCCTTTGCCAAGCTGAGGAAGCTTATTCCCACCCACCCACCAGACAAAAAACTGAGCAAGAACGAAACACTCCGGTTGGCCATGAGATACATCAACTTCCTTGTCAAGGTCCTGGGAGAGCCAGGCCTGCAGCAGACAGCAGTGGCAGCTCGGGGCAGCATCCTGGGATTCTTCCAGCAAGCCCCACACTTGCAGAGCATGGAAGAGCTGACACTGATTGAAAACTGTGGTGTCTCCTGTCCCAGCATGAGCAGCAATATAGCGGAATGTTGGTCGGAGGCATCATCTCCCTAGCAGACAATGAGATGTGCAGTCTCTGTGTTAGTGTGATAGTCCCTCTCTCCTGGCAGAATCTGTGGGTTGCTCTTCCATGTATTGTGATTATTTATTTATATTTATTGCTATTTAATTTGCATTTTTATTTAATAGGATAGGAAATCCTTGGTCGTGCAAAACCTGGAAGTCAAGACAGAGAACTTGCGATCTCTGGGAGCCTGGAAAGACTCACTGCTGTCATGGCAGAATCCAAGCCAGAAGAATCTTCTGCCCAGATCTCCTCCATAAATCAGGGCACAGAAATTCCTTCAGTACTTGTGACAGGGAAAGAGATTATCCTCCCATGCTATTTCAAGGAAACACTATTGAGATGACGAATTATGACAGCACCACAAAATTTGTCCACAACAAACATCTGGTCTCGGTAGTGAAAGATTTTGAGATAGGTGATATTTGACAGAGTCCTCCATGAGTTGTTCTAGGGACTAATTGCACTGACTCTTGAACTTGTGGATCTTATTTCTAGCTTGATTATTTATTTTTTTTAAAATGTAAGTCTTAGCCCTTGAACCTGGCTACATCTTTCTTCATCAGACTGGAGAGATCCCTTATGTCAGAGCAAAGCACATTAAACAAGACTAAATGTTAGGTTAAAGCAAAAAGTGACAATTTAAAATGACAAAATGCATAGTCATAGATGAGTTTCAGAGGGTTTGACAGGCAAAATAAATCTCCTCCATAGCAGCCTATGCATAGTGCACATGAAGGAGGATGGTCAACTATGCCCCAGCTACCTTAAAAGTGCATCAAAGAGGTTGTTGACTCAATGACTTTGTTCTTCTGTAGGAGCTGTAGCAATGGGGGAGGTCCTCTTTGGGAGGGAGGTCCCAGGACAAAGGCCTCAGTGATGCACTGTGAAAACCTTTATGGACAAAACTAAGTCTATGGTTGTGCCTGCATACCTCACTGACTGCCCTGAAACTCCCTGCTTCCACCTACTCTAGCTGAGATTCTCCCACCTGGACACTGTCCCAAACGGGTCAGTGAAGCAAGGACAAAGAAACTGGTGTAAATATCTTCCATTTGTGAGTCACTTCTCTATAGGAAAAGCGCCAACCATCACACTGTATAAGCTGCATGAGAAGAGGTTTCATGAAAGTGGCCACTAGGTAGGTTATTGTTGCCCACAAAAAAATCCAATTTAATTTCCTGACTGAGTTATAACCCGTGCCAGCCAAGGCCTGGTCTGCTTATGTGACTTACAAGCAGCCCAAAACAGCAGAGAAAATGCCACCAGGTTTAAGCAGAGTGGCTTTCTGGTGAGATCCTGCTCCCACTGACACAAGTGCCTCTTGATTTCCATGTGGACCAAGGTACATGTCAAGGCTTAGAAAAACAATTGTTCCTGACTGGTAAAGAAAATTAGCTCTAGTAAGCCAAGGCATGTCCCTGGGCTGTTTCTGTTTGTTCATGAGACAAAGAGGTGCTTTCAGAAAGCAGAACTAGGGTTTGTGCATGCTGCATGTACAGCCTTTCTGCATGAGGGGATTTGGCACCTGAAGCTGAGCTGCCTTTCAAAGCCTCACCAAGCACCAGGTGCACCAAAGAAGCCAGGGCTGGCTCCTGCTATGGGAATGTTGAGCTGTCCTCAGCATTGGCAAAAGCCAAGGTCTGACATGAGCACAGCTCAGCCCATCCAGCACTGGTGCTGTAAGGTACAGGCATGCCAGTGGACAGATTTTGACCAAAAGAAAGAAAGAAAAAAATAATAGAAAAACCTGAAAGGGTTCATGTTGATTTGTTTTCCATTCTGAACACTGCTAATAGTTTGCTTATCCCTGGGTTTGTGAGCTATCAGGACTGCCCTGGGGAGCAGCTGAGTGGAAAGGCTCTCAGAATCCTTCGCACGGTTCATTTCTCCCCACCTCTGCCCACCTTAACATGACTAAATGGGGCCACAGCCCCCTCTGCATGGCCCCTCAAAGGTAATGAGCCACATCCTCCTCCCAGCTTACCTCCAGCTTGCTGGACTTGCAGCAGGACAAATTAGTCCAAGTAAAATCACAGCACTTCCTGCTGAGGCGTGGTGGTGCTGCTGCTGGGTCTATCAGTCACTTGCTGTCCTAGGAAACACACATCACCAAGGCATTGAGGAAAAACATCTTGTGAGCAGCTGTCATGCTGGGAAGGGGAAAGAAAAACTGGCAATTTTGTAACATAACATGCTTGTATTTTCTAGGCTAAAAATCTTCCCTTCTTGTTATTGCTTTGGGTATCACTGTTTTCTTTGATCTCCTTTCAGCTTAGGGGCTTCCTACTGTCACATCCAGCAAGTATTTCCCTAGATCTCTCTACCAAAGATTTCTTTTTTTGGTCAAGTTTCTTCTTTGTGTTTTGGGGATTTCTTATCTGTGTCATCATGATCAAATATGGTGCAACTGATAACACTTTGTGCTATATGATGTTATTTAACACCTAATATATTCCAAATAAATTATTTAAGAACCTAATCTTCGTTGCTCTAAACTTCTCTAAAATTTCATTTTACATTTGCATACCACTTGGTAGAGGATCCCAAAGACCTTAGGATGTAACTTCCAGCAGAGGATTCTTCTCCTGTCTCTTATGCAAGAATCCTGGTGGTAGAAACAACATTATCAAATGATGAATAATAACAGGAACTCTTTGTTTATTACAATTTCTTACACTTTTAGTTCATATTGTACTTCCATCTATGTGCTCAGAAGATTTTGACTGGCTCTTGAAAATGACAAATAACTAAAATACCATTGTGCAACATTCCAAACATTCACAATTCAAAAGATTTTCATCAACTTCATTTTACAAAGCGTAAGACACTCTAAAGAATGAATTTGGAGTCCACTGTTATCTGGAGATGTTCAGATAGGCACAACCTAAAGATTCAAACAGGAGTCCAGGTTCAGATAAAAATTAATTCAAAATTGAGTGGAGCTTAGGATATAAAGTTGTTCTTTCTGGCTAACATATGGTGAGAACAATCCAATCCCCAACTGAATCTGAGGCTGGGAGAGGGGTAGCAAGCACCAGAGTGACAGATGCAGAAGTTGTGAGGAAGAAATGGGAAATCACTGGATCACAGGGACAGTTTCAGTTTCATGCTTGACTGGATGTCTCACATCCCTGAGAGTGTTCTATGGACACCAAGAGAGCAATTTCTGCACCAAACGTGTGTCAGGAAAGCATAGCCTCAATGAATAATATACAAAATTCATGAAATCAGCAAATGTGCAGTTTGAAGTGCATTTATGTGTGATGTCCAGCACGTATTTATACTAAGCAAGACAATGTCACCTTAGAGAGAGCCCTCTGCTTCCAGGAGGTGATGCCAAAGCTGAGAATCATGTGACAATCCCTCCTTTGGAAGTGAGCATGGTACAGCCATGCCACTACAGTGCTGTCAGATAACGGACCTGTGCCACAGAGATGTATCAAGTTTTTTGGAGTTGGCTGAAGATGTCTCAGATATGTTGTTGCAGTGGCAAAACCTTAGTACAAATTACAAAAATATCCCTAGTCCCAAGGACCCTATGTCCCCTAGTTGTAACTAGCAGTGCTGAATTGGGTTGTACATACAGCATTTCTTTTATTTTTATATTTATTTTTATTTCTGTGAAGCTGTGGCTGTCAATATTGCAAGGAAGACCAGCTGAGGTGGCATTTTCTAGAAGCACCCTTGGTATCTCCTGGTGAGACACTGAGGTTTTTTCACTTTACTTGAAATTTCTAACAGGATCAGTGGAAGAATACAGCTTCACATTTCAGCTCAAATGAGGATAACTTTTTCCAGAGGCAGGAAAGAAGTTCTGCCACTGTTCACTTGTCAGAGAGCCTAAGGGAACTGACACCCATCACGTCCACTTTTTCAATATCCCCATCGTGGCTGTGGAATATGATTGAAGTTGGATATTTAGGCTGGGTAAGGAAAGGAGTAAGTTGCAATGTATCTTGAAAGGATGCTGTAGTCTTGTGCATGAATCCCAGTGATGGCCAGCCTGTGGTTAGAGGAAGGGCAGGTCTGCAATCTGGGTTTTGGCCTGAAATTCCGTGGATTCAGATCCTGAGGGATGTGAACATGCTGTGCCTGGCACTGGACAATGCAGTGAGGTCCCACATGTGTGGTGCCTCGTGGTTTCAGGAGCATTGACCACACTGAGAAAGACTTTGTGGTGAGGCGTGTACTCGGCAGCCTTGTTTGCTGTACCTTGACTAAATCAGGGGGGAGGAAGGTACAATGAGCATCACAGAGCAGGACTCACAGGATTCCTGAGACAGCCACATTAAATGGCAAAGCAGAGTTGTTTTAGGACACTAAGATCTATCCTAGCACCTGGTTCTAAACAAAAAGTAAAGGTGCAGCACTAACGTGTTTCACAGGCATATGATTCATGAACCATTTAGAAACTTATCTTCCAGTATGTAACCAGTTCCCACAAATTTCTTTGCTGCTAGGGAATGCTATGCAACGACCATGGCTAAAATAGTGTGAGCAAGGCAGATCTGGCTTTGTTCTTTGAAGGCTGGGTGATGAAAGGAGGTGGAGAGAATGGACGACTTAACTACTGACCTGTGGGGCAGGGGTCACTAAAGGTCATTGACACAGTGACAGAGTCTAAATCCACCACTTTTCAAGGGTGTAATTGTATTTTTAATACAGCAGGTGCTGAGAGAATCAGAGGGGAGAAGGTAGGTGGAAGAAACAGCTCAAAAAAGTACTTGGGTTACTGAAGGTAGAGACTGCCCTGTGTCCAGTCAATACCTATATTTGGTTGAATTTATTCACTTTTGTTCCCTCTGTAAGCCATGGACAGCATTTTCTTTGCACTGACTTGGTCCAGCTCCTTTCTGTAAGGAACAGAGAGTCATCCCATTGTATTCTCACTCCACTCCCTTTCCATATGTGCACACAAACACACATCCCACCCCTCTACAGTTTGTTTTGCTGCCTTGGATTGCAAACCCAGCAGAGCACAAGAGAGGACCCTGTGACAAACTCCTTTTGGAGAAGAGACACCTCAGCACTGAGAGCCAGAAAGAGATGCAAAGAGCAGCCAGTACATCTGTCCCACTCAGTGTCAATGTCACAAAACAGCAAGATGTTCAGGATGAAGGGCAGGAAGAAGTCAGTGAGACTTCTGTGGATTCAGATAAAGTCTCTCACTTTCATGCTGGCATGCAATGAGAGGCACTCACAAGCACAGAGCAGCAGAGGTTTCCCTGCATACACCTCTCTGCAGATGTCTGGGGCACAGTACCTTAGAGCCGGGGAAGGTCCCTCACTTTCTGTGAAATTCCCTGCTCTACACCTTGAAAGACAGACTCTTAGGTAGCCT